ACTCAAGCCACAAAGCTTGAAGTCGCCAGTTAGCCCAGGCAGCAACACCTGACAGGTGCTTTCCATTCCTGACCACATAGTCAGTCCGGTGGAGCCTGAAATAAGTATTTCTAGTTTCTGAGGTCTGCTGAAGGTCAAAGAGCAGCTGTCTTGCAGCTCAGAGTCCCGTGGAAGGGCACAGTATTAGTTTTTCAAGCCTTCTGCTACCTACCTAAAACTTCATTAGCCTTTATTCAAAATATGTTGTCTCCACTTGTTTAAGGGGCAATGTTAAGAATTAAAAATGAAAGCTGGGTGGTGGCAGCGCACGCCTTTGATCTCAGCGCTCGGGAGGCAGAGTTTGAGGCCAGCCTGGTCTATTGAGCAAGTTCCAGGACGGCCTCCAAAGCTACAAAGAAACCCTGTCTCGAAAAAACAAACAAAACAAAACAAAAAAAATTAAAAATGAAGCTGGGCGGTGGTAGCACACACCTACACCTTTAATCCCAGCACTTGGGAGACAGAGGTAGGTGGATCTCTCTGAGTTCGGGACCAGCCCGGTCTACAAAGCGAGTTCCAGGACAGCCAGGGCTGTTACACAGAGAAAAAGAATTAAAAATGATGGAATAATGAGGCTGGAGAGATGGTGCAGCAGTTAAAAGTACTTGCTTTTCTTCAAAGGACGCTGGTTTGGTTCCTAGCACCCATGTGGCTGCTAACTGTAACCCCAACCCCAGGAGATCAGACTCCATTTTCCACAGGCACCAGGCAAGTCGTGGTATGCGCATGCGTGTGGGCAGGCAAAATACAGAAGAAAACAAATCCAAAAGAAAAAACAAAAACCAGTGGGACAAACACCAGCAGTGGTATTAGTTGTCTTGGTTGTAGGAGGGGAAGTAGCTTCATGAGACAAAAACAGGAAGGGGCAGGGGGACCCCTGACACCTACCTGAGCATCCTCTTCTGAGGTTGTCACTGCCTCAAATTAGCTATTACCTGATTAGTGAGCGAAGACCTATCAAAGGAGTACACCATACAACGGCAGTCCTTAAAGATGGTTCTCATACAAGATTTATTCCCCAGCACCCCACCCCCACCCCCAATTCACAGTGGAAGATTCGGGAGACTCAGAGCAGGATCCCACTGGTACAACAAAGACCTTCCGGATTTTGCTCTCCTCCTCTCCCTCTTCCTCTTGCCAACTCCCAAGGCATGAAGCAACACACACTCATGCAAACTCGCAAAACCCCACTCCTTCCCCTCACCTCCCATTTTTTTCCCCACATAGAGCTCACCTGTAAGACATCTGGCTCTAAGGAAAGAGATGTCCAAAGCATTTGAGAGCCCTGAAAGTGGGGAGAAGCCATTACCCCTCACTTCCACACTCAACGTCTATGAAACAGCATCCAGCCATTCCCTTCTCACTGTGAAGTATTTTCACTCCCTGGCCTCTGTACCTTGTCCATCAACCAAGAGCAAACATGTTAGCACAACCCCCAACCTGCAGCACATGAAAATGGGCTCTGTCCAACGTCCCTCACCCAAATATGGGAGTGCTGGGGGAGTGGTCCCTGAGGATCAGCAAAGGGTTAATGCAAGAAGGAAAAAGGATAGAAGAATTTGGCTTGAGCTCTGATTTGGGAGACAGAGAGAGGCAGTAGGCAGGCGAAGGTTTAGAACCAATGATCATTGGGGGGGGGGGGTTGATTCACATGATTTGACTAGGGACTGCAGAATACACACCCTTCAGAAGGAGCTCTGCTGATTACCTATACATCCTTACTATCTGGGCTCATCCTTACAGGCGTTAGGAAGCAGTATGGTAAGAACAGCTGGTGCAAGAAGAGCTGGTGGCTCCTGGGATGAATGCCACAGCCATTTGTAAAGTGCTACTTTGCCACCCTCTGTGGAATTATTGCTTCTCCAGAGGAGGAGCAGGGGAAGGAACAGGAACATAAAAATGGATATGATATTGCTTTGCTCACTGCTCAGCCAGATGGTCAAATGGAGCCAGGGGTTAACAGCACCGAAGATAACCACACAGCTCCAAAAGATTCCATGAGACCTCAAGACAGAGAGGCACTCAAGCAATCCTACCAGCCAGCTGATCCCTATAGCTCAAGGTGACATAGAAGAGGCTCCGCCCACATCACATTCACATTTCTTAAATTCTGCAAGCACTTCGCAGTGCTGAGGGTCAGCCATCGAGAAATGAAGATGGGCTCAGGGACAGGAAGTGGGCCTGCTCTGCAGAACCAAAGGACAAACTTGCTTTGAGAACACAAAGCAAATCATGGTAAAAGACAAAGAGGATAACTCTTGTAGCTGCTGCCTGACTTCTGTGGCTCCCGTGAGGTGAAGAGAAGAGATGGGCTCTTGTATCAGTGAGGGCCCCTGAGCACCCAGACCTAAAAGCAAACAGCACTACTGCCTCAATATTGACTCCTCAAGGGGAATCAATATCCCTCCTTTGTTGCCTGTAGTACCACCCTAATGGAGAGAAGTCTCCCTTGGGGGAGCACATTCTCACTTCAGTGACTAAGCACAAAAATGGTTTCTAGCTGGCAGCAAGGTAATGAGTATGTTCTCTCAGCAGGCCTCTGCATCAGCCAGGCCACCCAGCACACAGATGAAGTTCAGGGAACAAAACAGGGTTCTTCCCTTGCCCCATCACAGTTAAGTGTGTGTGTGGGGGAACCCTACATCACAGTGACCCCCTCAAAGGAGTCTCTCCTCAGTGGCTCCTGGAACTGGCAGGGTCTAGCTGATTCAGCTCTGATTGGTCCAGAAGTTCAAAATCATCTCCCTCAGCATCAGTGTCCAGGTCTGAACTAGGGGCCCGGAGGAAACCTCTTGTTGCTCTTCGGGGAGGTGGGCCAGAAGGGTCTGTCTGGGAGGCCCCTGACAAGGCCAGCTGGATCATGCCCTGGGAGACCAGGCTGGCAAGGTTGCTGGTGAGGTTAGATCCTCCAGGAAGGGAACCAAGCAGGAGCTCCGGCAGTGCAGCCTCGTCCCGAGTAGCAGGCAAGACCTGGGTATCCCCAGCCCCTGGAGGGGGGCGGTACATCACGCTGGGCATCCCAATGCTGGTGTCATCCTCATCATCCAGGCCAGCAGGATCCACATTAATGGAAGGGAAGTCTGGAAGGTCTCTGGCAAATGATTCCTCGGGATCACTGTGACCATCTAGGTCTGAGAGAACACAGGTATGTGAGACATGACAGTTACTTGGCCTCATGCCCCAGACCCAGAAAAAGTCAACCCCTACACAACCAAGTTCTTCCCACCCTATAACATTGTTTTATTTCAGACATTGTTTCTCTATGTAGCCCTAGCGGTCCTAAAACTCACTCTGTAGACCAGGTTAGCCCTAAACTCAAAGATCTACCTGTTTCTGTCTGCCAAGTGCTGGAATTAAAGGTGTGTACCAGTACCACCCAGCTCCAACTCTGTATTTCTTAAGATAAAGCAAAACTTGTGGGACTGGTTAGCTTTTCATCATAACTCAGATGCATGACTACTAATTGCCAGAGAACTGCCTGCTTCCCTCTACTGTGTCCATGAGGCTGGAGGCAAAGACTAATAAGGACTTGGGGCCTCAAGAAAAGCAGGAGTACCTGCAGTGCCACACCACACCCTTGGATGACTCTGCTACTTGAGCCATAACCCAGGAGAGGAGGGGACAACAGTAAACCCCTGTCCAAGGAAGCTACAATGCAGAAGTCAAGAGTTACTATCAACTCAGGTCAAACATTCTTACCTTCAGAGCCTTCTGTTAGAGGTGTTTGGCCCCTTGACAGGTTAAATGTGCCATTGTCCGTACAGGAGACCTCGGCATCAGAGTGCTCCGAATCTGTGATAGCCAATTCCCTGGCAACGGTAGAATCATCCAGCTTAGAAAAAGAAAACACCAAGTCTGAGATGATGTCATCAATAATTCAAGCCCACCAGTGACACCCAGGATGGATGGGAACTGCACCACAACCTTGACCCCTGTTAGGCTGCTTCCCTAAAGGGAACATTTTCTCATCAACCTTTTGAGGTTGGGCAGTCTTAGATAATCCAGAAAAATATTAACCAAACCTCTAGGTGGACTGGTTGCTGAATAGACTTACGTCAGCTCCAGGTTTTTCCATGATGGTAAAGTAAAAGGAAACCCAAGTGAACGTGCTGTTCACCAGGCCCATACAGTAGCAGGTTCTCTCCTCAGTGCTGCTATTGAGAAGAGAGTAAGGGGAATCGAGGGTCCTTGACGGGCTTAAAACCTAGTTACCATCTAAATGTGAGCAGCTAGACAGATAAAGAAGAATTAAGAAAACAGGCCAGTAGAGCCGCTTCCCCACACAAGATACCTGAGGACAGAAGGCGGCAAGCTCCTCTTCACTGTCACTGTGGTTGTTCAGGGCACGTTCTGGGTGTAGAGCTCTCCGGCGCACTATGTGGAAAGAGCAGAAGACCTTGATGGCTTCAAGGGAAAATCTCCTTTGGACTCCAAAAACATCATGACACAAGAAGAGGCCCTCTAAATATAGCCCTAAGTCTGCATAGCAATGTCTAAAGGTAAGAATACTGAGGCTGAGTAGTAACTCATGAAACTACATCTTTCCTCCAACATCCTTCCTTTGTCCAAGCCCTACACAT